CTGAGACCGGAAGGTACCAACTACTGAGCGGGAAAAGAGCCAGCCTGCCTCCCAGTGTTCCTACTAGGCTTGGCCAATCCGGAGGCTTCGTACTGCCTGCCAATCACAGCGATATGCTGCGGACACACCTGAACTGAGACCTGGAGAGCGTGACCCCCAACTCAGGGTTCCCCCATCCAGCAGCTTAGACTGGAGAAGATGGAGAAGCTGTAGTGGGCAGAAGGAACGGCTCTGCTGACCTGGCTAAGGGCCAAAGGGCCAGGAGCAGCAGCAGACCAACTCCAGGTCTTCTTGGTTAACTCATCTGCTCTAGACCCTTTCCAGACTGGTTTCAGCCAGGCTGTGGGACAGAGGCGGCTCTGCTAGCTTTAGTCGACGACCTCCATCTGAGTGTAGGTCTGAGGCCACGCGCCTCCACTTGAGGCCACGCGCCTCTTTGTTGCTCTTACTAGACTTATCTGCAGCTTTTGATACAGCAGATCATGCCATCTTGTCGAGGCGCCTGGAGGCAGAAGTAGGTTTCGGGGGACGCGTACCGGACTGGTCCAAGTCATTCCTCATGGATCGGACTCAAGGGGCTGCTACTGGAAACCAGTTATCTTCAGGGTGGCCTTCCACAGCATGCAATGCGATCCTCCTCCATACTGAAAAGCCCACAGGACGAATCATTCCTAGCCTTGGGGTTGGTGGTTATCAATATGTGGATGACACTCGGCTCTATCTAGCCTTCTCCAAATCCCCTGGTGTCATGGCAGAGGTTCTGGGAAACTGCCTGGTGGCTGTGGGAAACTGGCTAACAGAGAACAAATTGAAGCTAAACCCTGAAAAAGCAGAGGTCATGCTGACTGGGAAGGCAGAGACTTTGAAGGACTTTGCCTTCCTCCCTTTTTATGGCGTTCAGCTGGCCCTTGCTGACTCAGTTAAAGAGCCTCAGGGTTCTACTGGACCCAGCGTTATTCCTGGAGAAGCAAGTTCATGCACCTGCAAAAAAGGCTTTCTTCCAGCTCAGCCTGGCCCGAGAGAGGGCCCCTTACCTGGATACACCTGACCTGGCCACCTGGCTCCATGGCACAGTAACACGGAGACTACACGACTACTGTGATACACTGTACATAGGTCTCTCTCAAATCAATTTGGAACCTCCGGTAATTTAAGGTATTGGCTGTCACATACAAAGCCCTTCGTGGCCTTGGACCCCCTACCGCCTCTCCCCCTACACTCCACCATGACAGCTTCACTTATCAAAGTAGGGTCTTCTGCCAACCCGCCAATGGGCAAAATCCACAATTGCCCATACAGATGCCTTCTCTGTTTTGGCCTATACCTTGTGGAATGGTTTGCCTGAGAAGGTCAAGGTGGCTCCCACTCTACTGGCTTTCTGGAAACTACGTAAAACTGAATTATTCAAGATGGCTTTTCTATGCAGGCGATAGGTTGCACTGTACAAAACAATTCACAAAGCTACTTGGATAGATTATTAAGAACTGTGCTCTCTACTACTGTGTGCAGCTTGCTGCAACCAGGATCCTACTATGTAATTTTTGCATCATTTAATGTGTGACATTAATACTAATACTTTGCTTCAGTTCTGTTTTTTGACTTCTGGTTGGTTCTACAACCCACATCCTATTCCATTGTTTATGGAACGTCCCGTCCTGTCGATTATCTTGACTCACTCCATACCACCTGCCTTGAGTCCCAGAGAGACAGGCGGATTGCAAGGTAAATTAAATTAGTACTATCTAGACTTCACCCATCCAAAGTTATCATATTGGGTTCGATCCAACAAAAGATTTCCACCTAGGCCAGGACTCCTTGTACAAGAGGGAATTGCAAGGGAACGACCAGGGGAGCCACTTGGACCAAGTCAAACTTAACGTGTCCCCGTTTCTGTTTCCACTTGTACAAGATCCTGTGCGACTAATTTCTGGGCTCTATAACATATAGAGAGGAAAGCACTAGCTCGGTCTCGCACTAGATCCTGTGCAAGTGGTACTGTGCTAAGTCCCTTTACGCTTCCGCTTGCACGCTGCTGGATCTGGGCCATTGTTTGCCAATGACAGAGCGCAACGTTGCACCTCCCTGTTCCCTTGTGTGACTCAGAGGCCTTAGACTAGGGGTCCCCAACATTTCTCCAGTGAGTGCTCCCTACTAAGCTTATATTTTCTGCATTCTCAAATTACTACATTTATCTATCAGTTACATTTACATTATACCAATCGTAGAATCTCTTCCAAGTTTTTCGAAAAGTCCATTCTGTACCGGTGTAACAGGCCAGATTAAGCCCCCGGCCAGAGTAACCCCGGGGTTACTCTGGCCTTCCTTATGGTCCAACTCTCACAGCCACACAGTACTACTGGGAATACCATCACTTTGACCATACAGAAGAAGAAGAGATTGGGTTTATACCCCGCCCTTCACTACCCAAAGGTGTCTCAGAGCGGCTTCCAAACTCCTTCCCCTTCCCCTCCCCACAACAGACACCCTGTGAGGTAGGCGGGGCTGAGAGAGCTCTGACAGAAATGGCTCTTTTTCAAGGACAGCTCTTGTCAGAACTACGGCTTGCCCAAGGTCATTTAGCAGGTGCGAGTGGAGGAGTGGGGAATCAAAGCCAGTTCTCCCAAATTAGAGTCCGTGCACTCAACCACTACACCCAAAGACCATACGGACTTCTGTGGGCAGGGTGATGTCTCTACTTTTCATTATGCTTTGTATTATACTTTTTATTATGGCGGAGCCTGCCACAAAACAGCTGCTGCAGTTGACCTTCAGTCACACAGTGAAGATCCTGGTGCCGTGAGGGGCAGCTTCTGCCAAAGCAACATTTTCAAAAAACCTGCACAGCCAATCAGAGCTCCAGTGGCCAATCGGAAGCCTTCCTGGGCAAAAGCCCCCCCGGCCACGCCCACTCTCTAAAAACACTTGGCGGGTGCCAGGAAAGGTGTCCGCAGGTCCCCCGCCCCTACACAGTGCAGCCCCAGGCAACCCGGCTCTGTGGAAATCTGCACTCCTCAACAAGGTAGATAATGTTTGGTTTTACTGGAGATTTCAAGTTAAAGGGTTTTCCCCGTGCATCCTCAGGTTAAACATCCAGATAATTTGAGAAGTAATGACTACACGACAGGACGTGCTCGCCACCTCTTGCTAGTTAAATGCAGCTCATTTAAAGAGGAGCCCGCGAGCCATGCCGTCTGGTGCAAGAGCAGGCAAACCCTGAGAATAAGCGCTCTAAAATGGGAAAACCTGTATTAATGCTTTTCATCCCAGGCACATGGGGATTCTCTCCCGCAATACACAGGCAGAAACCAGGGGGAGCCTTCCTTGTAATGCGCATTTCACCGAGAGATGCGTATGGGGCTGCGTGCCCCAAACACCAGCAACTAAAAATAAAACAAATCCCAGACTCCGTACCAGGAGCTGCCAAATGCTGCCATCAGTCAAGCACACACAGCGTTCAGCATAATTTATTTCAAGATTACAAATCTGTTGGAGTGCAGCGTATGGAGACTGCTGTTCGACAGGAAATAAAAATGGGGCATGTTGGCTGTGAGGGAGAGGAGGAGCTGGGCAGAGAAACGAAGGCCTTTCTGCCCTTTCTGCCCAACATTAATTAGACCACCTTGAGTTAAATGGGTGGGATTAAAGGCTGGTGCCCCTGGGCAGCTAAACAGCACAGTGGAATCCTGAGATGGGACAGGGAACCATTCCGTTTCATATTGTAGCTGGATACACCCAGTTCCCCGCAAGCAGAAAACTAATCTAGAAGTGAGCTGTGGAAGAACCCTTCTCTGTAATGTTCTACTTTTCTTTTACTTGCAGGCATTTCCTTTTTTTAAGATCGGAAAGTCTTAGTTCTGCAGTCAGAAGTGGTTGCATCCAGGGCCGGTGCCAGGTTTTTTTGCACACTAGGCAAGGCTACCTTCTGCCGCCCCCCCCCCCCGCCCAATTTTCAAACATA